GAAGACTGAAGTCCATGAAAAAAAAAGGGGGGGGCCATTCCATGGCCTAATTCTTCACAGGGAAAAACTGGGTCGTGCCAGCCATATGACACCCCGACTTAATCCAATCTGTGTTCAGTTATGCCTTGCTTCTTTTTTTTTTCTACGGGCGGGGAAGGACAGGCTAGTGACCCATATGGTGGAGTGCCGTCTCACACCCACAAATGTTGCTACTTTGGCCTTGTTAGGGTGAGGAGTGGCCTACTTATGCGGCCCGCTATTAGGGTAATTGTGAGAGTTGGTTAAGCTCTGCTTGTCAAGAGACTGGCGAAATTGGTTTTGGACAGTAGTCGGTGTACAATATATGCACATCTGTGCTTTAAAGGTCGCCCTGTTAAGAGAATAATTAACTTTGCTGTGTTGACTGTGCTGATGAGGGGCACGCATGCGAGTATCACCGCTTTTTATTTACATGTAAATGTCATGTTAGGTTTAATTTATGAAGCCGTATTATGGGAAAGGTCATGTTCCAGTTACCATGGCTACCTAATGCTCTCTCAAATTTTGCTAGGCAGAGAAACAAAATTGACATCTTAGTGATGACTCTCTGACACAGTCTCCATGGTAACTAGATTTTTAAAAAATACAAGTTATGAGTTGTCTTGTTGTCAACGTAACCAAAGCGAGGCTGGAAGGAAAAATAGTCTGGTTCCTCTCTGCACAAAAACATTATCATTCAGTACTGTTGTTGGATACAGGGACCATGACTGAAATGGTGGCAGCATGATAAAGGGTTATAAACCAGTACTACTGTACGTGTAGGGCTGTCCATTTCAAATAATTTAGTATCCGATTATTTAAAACTGCTTGTGACCGAATATTCAAATATTCAAAACTTACTGATCAAGTTAACATGCGTCAGCTGACACGCAAAGCATGCGGATTAAAATTTTCGCGCATCGATCCATCTGATGGCCCACTGGATTGCTTTGCAGAAAGTCTTTTATAACCGTCAAGGGCAACCTTGTCCCCAGTGCTTACTTTATTTCCAACCGTGTTTCCAATAGTAAGCCCTGGATAGGAAACTTTCTTCCTGTATCCTGATTGGATATCGCACTTGGCTAGTAATGGATTTTTATCGTGTACTTGGTGTTGTTATTCACAACGTGCAGTACGTGTTTTCACGATCATTCGTCCACGCCTTCTCAAAAATATTCCTTTCCTTTCCCAATTTATTCATATTAATATGAAATGTGATAATGCATGTTGTCTCGATAAGATCGTAACAGTTTAATTAAATAAATTGTGTTTTCGTAACTCACGCTGTGCTCGCGCGCTGCGACGAATTGACTTTGGTTTTACCCCAGACACCGCATACAAAAAGGAACGATAGTGTAACAGACATGCAGGCACCAGACTATTCCTCATTTGCATACGTGTTCAAAAATCTTGCACATGCAAATGATCCAATACCAGGGTGAGAGAGCAGGTAGTGATGGGCGCGTACTGCTCGACACCCTGGGGTCGAGGTTGCGTCAAGGGCTCTAACCTGCTAAAAGGAACAGAACAATGAACCCTCGTCCAAAAAAAAAACGTTTCTGTCAACAAAAAGTGGCATTTGGCAGTAAAGCGCTGCAATTTCACGATTAAAATAACATCACGTTGCAGTGGTTTTTTTCTAAGAATATTCTCCCCGGTATTAAAATGCTGTTCGAATATTCGGTTGACAACCAAATATTTGAATAACTGATATATTTGGGGCAACCCTCACCAGTACAAAATTTGTTCAGACATTTGGTTAGTGTCCAGTGTACCGGTAAGACTTGTGATTTCGATCACTGTATGCTGTGAATGCGCGGCATGTTGCATACTTGTCAAAAAAGGCAAACGGCAAAAGGCTCCTCGGAACATAAATAGCAAAATTTAGCATAATAAATGACCATCAGGGGCCAATTCCACGGCGCTGCTAAGCACAAAAATGTGCTTAGCACAAAAAAAGGCTGGCTTATAAAAGCAGGTTACCAGCCGAAACTCCACGTGATGTATATTGCTCGTGATTAGCATTCAGCTGTTGTTTGCTTAGCATTGAAAATCACACGGGGTTTTGGCCAGTAACCTGGTTTTATAAGCCCGACTTTTTTTGTGCTAAGCAAATTTTTGTGCTTAGCAGCGCCGTGAAATTGGGCCCAGTACTGTATGACACAAGTATGGCCAATATATTTTTTTTCTACCATAAAACACGACATGCATGCAGTATCAACACATGTGCATAACATGTAGGGCCTACACTTTTACCACCCACAGAGGAGCAAAATGGCCAGGAAGCTAGGGGGTCCCACACCTCTGGCTAAGGGGCCTTTTAACAAGACCAAAGATGGAGGAAGTAGAAGGGGAAAAAATGAAGGAAACGTGCCCCTGGCTCTGATGCACCTATCACAGGCCACTTAGGACCAATTGAGGCAGTTAACAAGGCGCTGTGCGAGGTACAGGATGGGGGTACCTGGATGACAAATCTGCCCCAAAAATATGGATGCGTAAGGCCAAAAAAAAAAAGTCTCCGGTTTCTGGTATGCGCGCGCGTCGCCGTAGCCATGCGCGTCGGCAAAATGAAAAAGTTTTTTTTTCAATGAAAGATGATGTCTCAAAACCGCCAAACTCACTGGTTTGACTGGAATTCTGCTGCTGCACAATTTTAACGTGTTTTTAGATTGGGTTATGGTCGAGAATAAGCTTTATGTGGCCTCTCTGGACTCCCATATATTTGCACTAAGTTTAGTCGGACACCATTGGCAGTCATCCAGTCGACATTTGAAGCAAGAAAGTCAGGTAAAAAAAAAAAAAGCCGCGTCGCCTCACCACTTTTTGGACAAGCTCCATACCAGAAACCAGAGACTTTTTTTTTTTGGCCTAAAGTCACGTCTGGTTATTTTGGTTCTGGATAGTGGTGTAAATCGGACATTTCAAAATCTGGATATCCTGAAACAAAATTTCAAACTGAATAACGGTTATCTGATTTCGCTGGAAGTTCTCATTCAGCTCGCTGTCAAATCACCAAAAAAATTAGTCAAATAACAAAAACAGCTTAATAACTCCCTAGGGGGTATGCAAAATCGTATTGAAATTGGAGGATTCAGGACTGTTAGGGTTAATGACTATCCTGGGTTACTCCCCCCCCCCCCACAAAAAAAAAAATAAAGGGGATAAATGAGACACAAATCTGGCTTATTTTAGGAAATTCAACCACGATTAAAACATACCCGTTATTCCTTATTTAATTGAATATTCACCTCATCATTCCATGTCTATCCATGACAGCCATCTTGGTCAAGCTCCCAGCGGGCACCGCATCATGCAACAAGGCAACAAATCACAGGCACCAGCCTATAAGTACTTTGAAACAATCCTCGCATAATACGAACAGTAATCACAGTCTAGCTCCAACTGTACAAGGCATCACAAAGCAAGTCGCATGTTCACAGGCACCAGCCTATTCATTTTTGACAACTATTCATTTTTTGAAAACAGTCAACACAGTCTAGCTCCCAACGAACGTAGCATAACAAAGCAAGTCACAAGATCACAGGCACCAGCCTTTTCTTTTTACTAGCCTCCTAAACAGGATCACAGTCTAACTCCTGATGAACACAGCATGGAAAAGCAAGTCATAAGATCACAGGCACCAGCCTATTTATAAAAACAAGCCTTCCAAATGGGGCAAGTCTAGCTCCAGACGAACACAGCTTGGCAAAGCAAGTCATAAGATCACAGGCACCAGCCTATTTATAATAACAAGCCCTCCAAAATGGGACAAGTCTAGCTCCCGATGCACACAGCATTGCAAAGCAAGACATAAGATCACAGGCACCAGCCTATTTATGATAACAATCCTTCAAAAATGGGACAAGTCTAGCTCCCGATGAACACAGCTCGGCAAAGCAAGTCATAAGATCACAGGCACCAGCCTATTTATAATAACAAGCCTTCCAAATGGGACAAGTCTAGCTCCCGATAAACACAGCATGGTAAAGCAAGTCAAAAGAGCAAAGGCACCAGCTACGAAACAACAAAACCAAAACAGCTCACAATCCTTCCCTCCCAACACAACGCGCGGACGAAAACAACAAACCCGACCATCCAAAAGCCTTACATATCATCCTCTACTCTCCCTCTCAAAAAAAAAAGAAGGAAAAAAAAGGACTAGAAAGTGGGCCTGCCTTATTGAGCCTAATACCCATTCAAACCTCCCCTCCCAACCCAACAAAGCACGCAGCAAACAAGTATTATGGCCGACCGCTGGACCGTGACTACCTGGCCACTGGTTTCGACGTTCTGCACTCTGCCGATCGAGCAGTTCAATGACCAGCGCCACCGATGTCCGTTATTGTGCACAGTGCACGGGTACCTTGCACTTTTCTTTTTTCTTCTCCTTCGTTTTTTTTTTTCAAGTGGCCAGATTTGTGTACGCAGTGTCGTTTCACAATGCTCGGTTTGAAGATTTCCGAACGGTAAACAAGTGCTTTTGCGCGGGAGGCGAATGCGGTGCTGCGTTGATGCACTCTCACTGTCCGCCTTGAATATTTAAGCAGTGTAGAAACAGACACATGCTTAAAACTACGGACTGATTTTTATACAACTGTGATAACAAATTTGACTATGCAATGCCCATGTTTTATTAATTTGACCATTCTACATGTTACACAGTGCTTTAAAGTTGAAACTTGCAATTTTTGTAAAAGTGTTTGCATTTTTAAACAAATTTGTCCTATTTTGTTTTGAAATTAGGTGTTTCAGCAGTTAATTTTATCGTAAACTTGGAAACAAACGTACAGTTAATTTTATTGTAAATTTTTTTCGTAAACTTCACTTCATGCTTTCAAGTGCAGTTAAAATTAACGGCATTGAATCCTATAGCAAACTTGTGTATTACACATATTTCAGTACTTAATAAGGTGAACGTCGGCTCATACAAGTTTCATGTATAAAGGGATGAAATTTAGATCATCGAACTAAATTTTACTTACAGAAATGATGTACGCTGCTGATAATCTCGTCACAGATACGCTGTCCACACAGTCAAGGGTGGACAAAAACTAGTCTGAGCTGTCGAGATTCCAAAGGGGGTGCCAGCCTCTGCTGCTACCAATCCAGAGGGGGATATCGCCAAGTGATCAATCTGAAAGGAAAATATAAGAAACCAAAAAAATGGATTACTTTTCGAAAGCAATTTCTGGAGTTGCCGAGCATGGGAGTTGCCAAGCACAGAAGTTTGCTAAGCATAAAACATATATATGCTTAGCAAAAGAAAAAGCGGTTACCAGCCAAAATGCCATTGAATTCACACTGTTTGTGACTGGTCCCCTGCTGATCTGTGCTAAACGAGAAAATCTGCACAGAAATTTTTCTTCTGAAATTAGGCCAATGCCACAGATTTCCCAGAAAGTCACCATGCAATGAAATTTTGTCGTGGCTGTCATGATATTTTTTTTTGGAGTGAGGACCTCAATAAGCTAATTCATACAAACGGTAGAACATACCGGTACCTTGGGACCTAGTCGGTCCAAAAAGCAAACAAGCCCCTCCCCTCCCCTCCAAAAAAATAAAACTTGTCAAGTGCTTTTAACATCACAATGACTTACCTGTCAAATATGCTACTGAAATTCTTCACTGGGAGCACAATTTTTTTTCCTGTGGTTTTGCTTAATTCAAACAATCCCCAAAAGGTCAAAGGTCACGGGTATTCTTAAGAGAGACGTGCCTTCACCAAATTTTTCAGATAGTCGGTCACGGCCCTTTTACAAACTTGCAGAGAAATGTTTTCAACCATTCTCTCTGTTACCTGATATCAACTAGCTGTTCAAGGTATTTATATTCTTCGCCCCCCCCCCCCCCCTTGAAGACTATAATGTCTTTTCTTTTTCAGTGGAGAAGTGACGCTGGACAAAAGAGACATTTAAGGTGGATTGGTCGTGACCGTGTCAAGCAAAAAATACACAGAGGAGACTAAGTACCGGCACATGACATGTTGAACAGAACTTGGGACTCGGGAACAAAAAGCCGACGGTTTTAAGCACTTGTCGCGGCAAGGTGCAATTACAATGGGTTTCAGAGGGTACAGAGGTGTGGGTAGAATAAGTATGCCAGGTTCTTGGGAGTTCATATTGGGCGGAGCCTGTAATAGTGGGGAGCTGTGGGCTTTGTTTTTTTGGTCACCCTGGGTAGCTATAAGGGAAAGTTCCTGAGGGAAAGTTCCTGAGGGAAGTTCCTGAGGGAAAGTTCCTTTTGAAGGTAACGGTGGCTTGGGGAGGCATCAGTCCTGAACTTTCAAAAATTTTCAAGATAATGTTATTTTCAAGATAACAAATTTTCAAGATAATAAAACTACACGTACAATGTACATAATTATTCTGAAATACCGGTACATGTACCTCACTTTAATAATAGTCTCAAGCTTCCTGTGAAATTATGGCACCTGCTGGTGTACTGTCATTTTCAACAAGAGTGGAACTTTGCATCAATTTCCAATGATGGTTGGCCGACCATCGTTGGAAAAAAAATGATTTTTTTTTTTTTTTTTTTTTTTTTTTTTATTTAATTTTTTTTTTTTTTTTTAAACACTGCCCCAAATTCACCATATTTAGTTAGTCCACATTTTATTTGCAATTGGTTACACATCCGTGAACGGGTACAATTCGGCTAAGTCTGGTTACCTGACCCAACAATTCCCCGACGTGTATAAATTGCCCCTTTCGTCTGAAGTAGGGTCAGGGAACCAGACTACAAGAACAGCAATCAGCTGACGATCAAGCTGAATGCAGGTCCGGAATGCTGGTTTCGGGTTGTGTCATGTACTCATAAACTCAGCAACTTTTGAATTGAAATCAAGATCCAAAAAATTGTGTTTTCTCGAAATGTCCAGCATTCACAGAGCTAACACTTCATCAGTTGTTAAACACCTGTCTTTAGATTTTAAGCACTTTTGTTGCTTTAAAGGGAATGTACCCCGTACATCATTGGCTTTCACTGTAATTTTCAGAAATGAACTAGTTGAGGGGTTAGTATAATAGATCAAAATATTGTTACACTGACATGTTTGAAGTTTTGTGTCAAAAAATGCTCGAAAAAACCAAGAAAAACAAAAATGTTCAAGTAGTCTGGTTCCTTGACTCCACTAAAGATAAAATGGATCAATTTATAGATGCCGGAAAATTGTAAGGTAAGGGAACCAGTCTAGCTGGCCTGCACCCGTTCATGAACATGTAACCAATAGCAAACAAAATTTGGACTGAAAAAAGTGTTAAGTTGGAGCAGTGGTTGAAAAATAGTTAGGTTTTTCCAACGCTGGTCGGCCGATCACCGTTGGAAATGTATACAAAATAACCATTTTCTTGAAAATGACTTCACACCAGGTGCCATAATTTTACAGGATGCTTTAGACTGTCATTTACCAACATCCTTGTAAGGTATTTCGTAAAAACTTGGTAGTTTTATTTTTCGATGTTTGCAAATGTTGTATATTCCCTTTAAGCACTGTTGTTGCTTCAAACGGAAAAAATGTACCAATGACAAATGATCAACTCTACACAGTCTTTACACTAATATAATAATTTTACATGAACATACCGGTACCTGGAAACAGAAATCTTCCATGTCTACAAAAACTCAGTCTTGTACATAGCACTACGGACTTGTCCAAATATATCCAAGCACTACATCTATTCCCATACACAATTGTCAAGCAGCAATTGACAGAAACCTAAGCACTAGCCAGCACTTTCCGAGACATGCATAGGACTGTACAATGGCAGGCGCTGGGTTGAATGACCATGCGTGACCCCGTGACCTCTTAATCTGGGGATCGGTTCTAGGGCTGGGGTGAAGGGTTATGGGGAGGAGGGTAGACTGGCTCCCCTAGTCCTCTCAATTGACAAAACAAATTTGGATTTTGGAGGATTCGGTACAGTTTCCAGCAAAAAAATGCCGGAGTTTGAAGATTAAAATAGTGTGCTGGAGATTTCACTTTTTTTTTCTTGCCGACAAATCATCGTCGAGAAGTAAATACTTTTTTTCGCATGACTTCAAAAAATAAAGTGAAGAATGTTGCATCCTGACGCCATATTTTATCTCAATAAAGGTCAATCATTGCAAAAATGTTGAAAAGACATGAATCTAGAACTGAGAAACATTTCCATTTTTTTAGAAAATTCTTTGAAAATGCTCTCAACCAGTACACAACCAAACAAGTGGCGTCTGGATACTTCATTTTTTCCGTAAAAAACACACCATTTGCAAAATTCCTTCCAACAAACAAAAAATAGTATTTCGTATCTGCAGCTAGCGCTTGGGAGCTAGATTTCAAAAAAGAAAAAACAAATATTTTAATTTCACAGGGCCTCAATAGAATACAAAAACTCATGCAATAGACAAATTATGCATGATATTTCTACCCAACTGCGAGCTGGAAATTCGGAGAAGACCCCTAAGCCATTGTTATTAGGACATGTCTGCCAGGCACAGCCCACAGGTCAGCATAGCTTAGGCATGTCAGCTGCCAGGCAGAGATTGCGTACAATCAGCAAGCTGAGGGGCTTCATGATTGTGTGAAGCAGGGCGCTAGAGAGTGCATGACTGTGTGTACTGTTTATCAGGGGATGAGCTGCACAGTGCATGCAATGAGCAAAGGTATTCATTATATCTGGCCAGGGGAAGTTTAAATCTTGTTTATCCCGCATTTGCAGGAGACCCTAGGCATGCAACTGGGAAGTCACACTCACACAAAAAAGAGGAAATTCAAATTTTTCCAAGACTTTGTACAGTGTTTTTCTATTTTCAATGGCACACTTGGGAAGTACAAAAAGAGGAAATCAGCTGATCCGAGGAAAAGTTGCATGCCTGTTTTATAAGAGATGGCTACAATTTTCTGGGTACATGTGGTCCAGTAGTGGAGCACAGGATTCATGATCGTGAGGTTGTGGGTTCGAGTCCCGCCTCGGCCATGCGTGCTGTGCCCTTGAGTAAGGCGCTTTACCTCAATTACTCCTCTCAACCTGGGTTTGTGTGCGCTTACTTTTGACTTTGAGTGCTGCGTAAAATGTCCCCCATTTTAATCATTTTAATCAAGACAATAACCCAATTGGAAACTGTCACGGATCATAGATTTTCCGCGCTCCAGTTACGAGTTGTTTCAGTCATGGCCGGTTCTGATGGTTCGTCCCTCATATAATGGTGATGATGATGATTTTAACAGCTTCTTTTACTGGTACATAAGAACCCATCACTTACATCATGTCGCTATAAGGATAGGGTCCATTAATTATAATTAAGAAGCATTCTTGGTGACACGAATGGGAAAATAAGAATGTACGTGTTCTACATAAACCCCGAGGACCGACACACAAAGGGAGAACAACAGATCCTTTCAGTCCTCGGGAGTTGGGTCTTTTGTTCAAAACGGTCCTCTGTAGTAAGTTTGTGTGCTTAGTCTTTTGGAGAGTGTTATATTACAGGGGCAAAGGGAAACACAAAGCATTGTCCTCGGGAGTATAGTAAAACAAGAGTGTATGCCCATTCCAAAAAACTCATAAATGTTCTAGAGGTGTGCATTTATGGGTCGTACGGGAAACCGGGTACACGATTGAAAACAACATGGGTACCCGGGTACCCGTTAAAGAAACCCAACCCCCAAAATTCAAATATCGCAAGTTACTGTTCAGATTGTTTATAAAGGTGCGCCCAATAATACTGCCAGATCGGTGCGTCAATGCAGCATGATACAAGTGTGTACAGTGAGCTTTTAGCTTAATGGCAAAAACTACAACATTCACAAGCATCATAAAAAGTAAAATATGTTTTGCAAATTTCCATGTAGCCTGGTTTTCATTTTTCATTTTTTTCCCCAAATTCTCCACAAATGGCATCCAAATCTTTCTTTTTCATTGTCTGAGAAGTTACTGAGCATTATGTAAAGTAAAGTGAAATGATGGGATTTGAATAATTTTGGTTCTGTAACTTTACTGAAACAAGTATGTACGTGTACCGGTATGCATGTAAATTCTTACCACACGAAAAATACATGAGTGCGCATACACTGCAATGTTACTGGTTGCATGGAAGGAAATAAAAAATCAAATTGGTACGAGCACGGTAGAAGCTGGAAGTGAAATGTGGGGCACGACA